AACCCTAAACCTTAAACCGCGTGGCAGCTCCAAGGTGCGTGAGGCCCCTGACCGCGCACCCACGCCAGAGCCCGTAGAGGCAACCTGCATTTGGGGGGCTTTCCCAAAATTCGGGGTACCTTTAAAGGGGTGGTAGGGATTATACAGGGGTTTATATTGGGATATATAGGTGTTTAGGGTTAAAATGAGATTATATTGGTGACTATATTTGGGTCCGTCTATTTTGGGAAACTACCATCCAGTACGTTTTGCAGCAACCTCCTAGAGCCTTGTGTTTGACCATGCCCTCCATGAAATCACCCCACCTTCCCTTGTGCGGTAGCATCGCCGGCAAAGAACAGGAGACGTGTAGAGGAGTAGGGTTTAGGGTTTAGGGTTTAGGGTTTAGGGTTTAGGGCGCGGTCGGTGCACATGGCAATAGGCAGAAACCAGTGAGCCACCAGCGTGTGACTACGATGATGTTTGATGGTTTGCAGGACAATAATGGTCGGTAAGGCCTTCAACCCACATAACTTCACATAACTTATTAGTTTTTAGTAAGGAATAACGGAAAATGTGTCTTCTATAGGTCTTATATTCTATAGGGATAATAGTCCCTTATGCCCTACTAAGGACCAGCAAGATAAGGATTTTCTAGAGAGAGTTTGTGCAACCAACGTTTTTCAGACAGGTTTGCACAGAGATCGTGAGCTTACAGCGGTTTTCTGCAAGATGGTCCCATGACAAGTGCCCTAAATCTAAGGACGTTTCAGGTCGGTAGTTTCCCCCATTTCACCCTTCTATAGCCCGTATAGTCTTAGTGACCCAGTGCCCCCCATCTCAGCATTGTGTAAGGGTACCCACCGGATAACTACCCATCTGAAAGCCCCCTTAGCTAAACCATACGCTTGTCTAGCATCCTTCAGTAGATGCCGTGAAATTTATGCTCATTTGTGCGTGCGGGACGCCATTTCTCCAGCCTTGCGTTTAGGGGGCTTAATGAATGAGTGAGATGAAGATAACTGAGGAAACTCTCTATCGTTGTTGCGCATGTGAAGAGGTGAGAACGCCAGAAGGTGTCAAGACCAGGCGCCCTCCCCAACGCCCGGTGAAGGCGAGACGTCTGCAGCAACCAAATTCAGGGGTTGAAAGGAATATGGGGGTTTCCCAAAACTAGGGTACCGGTCCTCATGCTACGGATTAAAGTATTTTGGGGTCTATATCAGGGTCCCACAATTTAGGGAAACCACCATACACGAAGGCTACGATCCCTCATGTTAGGGTGCATTCTGGGCTTGCCCGGTTCTTACGTAGGCTGTAGCTGGACCCATTGATTTGTTGGTACCGTTGCTTTGAACGAAAGAGGATGGGGATCCGTTGGCGGTATTTGACAGGACTTGGTCTGAGACATGTGCAGCTGGAGATGGGTGGTTCGAGAGCATAGAATCAGTACAAAATGAGGGTTGATGGCATCTTGGGGGTATGTAGGGAACCCAAGCCTGAGCAGTACCCAAACAACTCAACTTACCCTTTTAAAGGCATAGGTTGTCCCAAAGTTACACCCTGAACATGGCGATGCCATATACCAGGGACGCGCAAGCTCTAAACCCTAAACCCTAAACCCTTTCTTTCTTTGGTGCAGGCTCGCCTCTCTGCAGGGGCTGCGCCAGGCCTTATGTGGCTCAAACGCGGTGGATCTGTTGGGGTTCTATCGGGATAACCCTAAAACCTCAACCCGGGATGTTCCTGGTTTCAGGTTTTTGGGCTTCATCTTTCTGATGTAGGTGAGTGAAAGATAGGGTTCCTTATGTCGATGATATCGGGGTAGCATAGGGGTTATATAAGGATTGTATAGGGTTTATATAGTGACTATATGAGATAGTGGAGAAGAAAACGGAAACTACTATTCAGGGTTTAGTTTTTTTCTGTGGCAAGAGTCTTGGTGCGCTGAGCTACTGTTTTGGTTACGAGGGGGCCGCCAAGAAATGTCGAGTTCTGTACCGCCTTACTTTGCGATAGATGCCCTCTAGATGTTCCTGACTTATAACAGAAACATCGGCTAGTTCTGAAACTCAGACATTTACCTGTATCCGATAATTCTCTAAGATGCGCAGTCAGCAGCAAACGTTGTTTCTGGTCTTTGCAAGTAGCGATGTAATCACGAGTGGGGGTCCCCGACATAGATTGTTGCTATATCTGCTCGTGCAGCTGTATGTGCAACTTGGAGGGACCCCAATCCCAGATAGTGAGACGAAGCCAGCAACAGGAGTGCGACTGATACCAGGGTATTTCTAGAAGTAAATTTCGATGTAGTACTCAATCAATAGATTCATCCCCACAAAGGGAAGGGATGCGTTCTTTGGATAGCCAGGTCTTGAGGGTGTTACAGGTGTGTGTGGCATATTTGGGAGGCCGGCTGCAGCCAACGGCTCACAGCACAGTTCATGTGCCAGCCTTCCTGGAAGGAAGCTGTTCTTCATCTTGCTGAGGCCCAGGAAAGGAGCGTCCAGAGCGCCCAGCTTGAGGTGCATTGCAATGTGGTGGCAAACTTGGCAGGCAAGAAGGGCTTCTGGCAGAGGGCTTTGCAGCTGCTCGACCCTTTTATCAGCAGAAACTGTGGAAGAAATGCCTTGGTGGGCCACGGCATCACCGTGGACGCCTATGCCCGAGCGGGATTCTGGGCCAAAGCCTTGTGTGAGCTGCAGGTCTGGGCTGCTCGCGGAGGCGAGGCGTCACCGTTGGCCTTCGGCGCGGCTGCGCGAGGGCTCACAGGGCTGGCTGCGCGAGAAGGCTCCGGAGGCACACCGGATGCGGCCTGGCGGAAGGCAGCGCAGCTTCTTGCCAGTTCCGAGGCCCCCAGCGTCTTCGTGGGCAACGCAGTGCTGTCGGCCTGTAGCCGAGTGAGACTGTCCCAGCAAGCTCTCCGACTGCTTTCTGGAATGAGGCAGCATGGGCCACAGCCGGATTCCGCCAGCTATAATATTCTCTTGGGCTTGTGCGCTGATGAGGGCAATGTTGCACAAGCAGTAGAGCTGTTAAGAGAAGCCAGGCACCAAGGTGTGCAGGCCAACCTCCTCATGTACAACTTGGCCACGAAATCATCTCTCAGTGCATCGAACTGGCAACGCGCAGTAAGCATGCTCCTGGGAATGTCAGAAGACTCAGTGGCTGGAGACGAGATCTCCATCAGCACCGTCATCGCGTCATGTGCCAGACGAAATTCATGGAGACTCTGCATAGCACTGCAGCATGCTCTCCAAAGAAGAGCTATGCAGCAGATTGCAGAAACAGGGACCATCGGCTATAGTACGGCCGCATCTGCAGCTGTCCAGGCCATGAAGTGGACTCACGCACAGCGCCTTCTTGACAACATCCACTGCAATCAGTTGCAAACAGACACAGACACTTTTGCAGCGCTGTCCACAGCATGCATGGCGGCCAGTTCTGCGGCTGAAGCAGGTGGGATTTGGTCATTGGCCGGGGCTCTCATAAGCGTATGCGAGCATCAGCATGGAGTGACGCCTGATGCGTTCGTTGGGCCATCAGTGTCCACCTTCAGCAGGTCAAGTCAGTGGCGGGCGGGCATTGGCCTTTTGGCTGCCATGCGCGCATCTGGCATCCGCCCGCATCTGCTATGCTACAACTCCGTGGCTACGAGCACCTGGCGTTCAGTCTCGTCCATGCTTTCCAGCTTCAAGGCCAGCTGGCTTGAGCCGGATGTAGCCTCCTGGAATGCCCTTCTCGTGGCCAGCCCTTGGGAGCAAAGCATAGGCAGCCTCGAGGCCATGGCTTGCTGTCAGCTTGAGGTGGACCAGGTCTGTACGAGCACCCTCCTTGGTGGCATGAATTCAGCACCATGGAAGGTCTCACTACAGGCTTTAGGCCAGGCAGTCCGCATGGCGCCTGGAGCCGTTGACCGCATTTTGGCCGCGGTAGTGCTGCGCAGCTTCGCAGCCCTCCGTTCCTGGCAGGAGAGCCTGCAGCTGCAGGCCTCTTTGGAGGCCGCTACCCCATATCTCAGGCTGAGCTCCGACGCAGGACAGAAGCACTGAAGCACGCCAGAGGTACCCTCACCCTCTCCCAGTAGCTGCCGGTATATGAGCTATAGTCTAAACTCCTTAAAGGGGGATTATATAGGGGATTATATAGGGGACTACTATAGGGGTTATTAAGGGGATAGAGTTTAGATTATGGCTCATATATTGCTGCAGGACTACAGAACGCTGCGCTGGGGGCTCTCCAGGAGGGCTCTGCGTGGCAGCTGACATCGCACGCCTTTGCCTCCTTCGCGGCTTCGCGCGGCGACCCGGAGCCGCTGGCGCTCAGTGCTACAGTCACTGGGCAGCAAAGGGATGGGGACATAGGGTTATATTGGGGATATATGGGGATAATGGAAAAGAAAATGGAAACTATAGGGAGTATAGGGTTATGTGGTATATTTAGGGACATATCCAAGGCATATGAGGATATATACATATATAAGGGTTATGTTGGAGTATATTGGGATATGTAAGGGAGCTGCAGGGATATACAGGCGTTACAAAGAGCTACATAGGGTAGTATTTCCCAATGATGGAGGTTAACATGCACAAGAGAATGAAGCATGACATGGCGAGGGGGACTAGATGGTGGTTCATAGGGATTAGGGTTTCCAATACTTAAGGGTCTCTGGTTGTGGTGCCCTCGAGGATTCTACCATCTTGGGGTACGTAACAGGGCCGATTGTGGTGTAGAGCCTCGGGTCTAGGATGTGATGATATTTTAGGGGATGCAGAAGATACCCGATCTTTGAGAAACTCCTATCCAGGATGCATTGATAGTTCTCCCTGCCGCGTTCCTTGGCTAGTGTCTGCAGTACCCCTTGGCTTCTCAATTGGGGCTTCTTCGCAATGACCTGGAAGCATCTTGAGTATAGCCTTTGATCTCCTCAAGTATGCCACTTGAAGTTTGCGAAATATCATACCAAGGTTAAGGCACAGATAGACCACGTTGAGACGATGTTTGACCAAGCTACTGAAAAAGTTCGCCACTGCTCCAGGTGAACTAAGGTTAAGTGTACAATAGTTGGGCAATGTGTCAAAGGAGAACACTAAACCCTAAACCTTGAGCCCTGAACCCAAACCCTAGCCTAAACCCAAACCCTGAACCCTAACAAAAAACGAAGCCCTGTTAGGGTTTAGGGTTCAGGGCTCCCAAAAGAATAATGACTATAGCCACCCTCTACTTGCCACCCCATTTCTACGTAACCACCCGCAAATCTCCCTGCATTCCCGATGTGGGAGTTTTGAGGTTCTGAGTTTTTCAAAAAGACGAATCCTCAATACGATGCCGCTTATTTGAGAAACCCTGCACCCCAACCCTGAGCGCGAAACCCTAAACCATATACTACATCTTTTTCGGTTTCGGATTTTTCTGGTCCGGAAATCCTAAGGTCACAACCCTAAACCCTAAACCCTAAACCCTAAATCCCAAACCCTAAACCCTGAACCCTATCCGTAGCCAAGGTGACCTCCCTGGGCGTGGTGGGGAAATGGCGGGCGATGCTGGAAGCAAGCACCTGGCTTCACGCGCGCGGTGCATGCCCCAGGGGTTCAGTCTGAGGCCTAGAGTTAAGGGTTCTGGTGTTTAGGGTTTTGGGGTTTAGGGTTTGGGCTTTAGGGTGGGTTTGGGGTTAAGGTTTTGGGGTTAGGGTTTAGGGTTCAGGGCTTCGGGTCTGGAGTTTAGGGATTGGGGTTGAGGCTCTAGGGTTTAGGTTTCAGGGCTTAGGGTAGGAGTGGACTGGAGAATCACATGCAGCAGACCACGGGAGACGACATTGAAACTCGAATTATGTTGTGGTTTATACGGTTTAGGGTGTAAGGGTTTGGGGCCAGGTAGTGGCAAACCCGAGTTGGTACTGAGTAATACCCTAAAGTCTCTCATAAATTCCTGTGATGCCAGTGTTTCGTAATTATAAGCGCTATCGCGCACCCGCCTCGGCTGGCGGGGTGCGGAGCACACGAATAGGTCATGGTATTAGTTCACACGTGAGGTTTAGGGTCAAGGGAGTAACGGAGGCATGCCTGTTTCAGCATTCATGCAGGGGGTTGGCGGGCTTAGTCCATCAGCCTCTAGTGAGGGAGTTCGCAAGCTTCGAGAGCCGCAACCGTAGAACCGGCCTCGAGCAGGGCTGCGTTTCAGGCTCGGAAACTGTATGTCCCCAAGTGCAATTCGCTGCTACTCGCCGGATCCTGAACTAAACCCTAAACCCCCCCCAATAAGGGGGGGTTAGGGGGGTGGGAGCGGGGTGAAGGGAGGGAGGGGAATTGGTTCCAAACGCCCTTAGGCTGGATAGCCTCGGCGAATATACTTGCCTACACCATAGCCCCAACTCGGAACCCAAAGCCTAAACTCCGAACTGTCAAAACCTAGACGACGCAGTATCTGCAGTTCCATAGGCGACACCAGTCTCCTTGCGGTGCTGGCAAGTTGCAATCCTGGTAGCAGTCATAGAGCAGAGGGAACATTATCTAGGTGATATTGGTGTAGAAGAGGGAACATGATTGTCATTCCTTTCCCAAAGCCCGAAGTCTAAATTCAAAACCCTTACCCTTACCCCCTAACTCCCAAATCCCATACCCCTGAACTTCCCTGAACCCCCAACCCTGCACCCCAAACCCCAACTTCATGCCATGGACAAAGAGGAGCAAACAAAAAACAAAGTCAAACCCAAGCCTACACCCTAAACTTTTTTTGCTCAGGTGGTTCCAAAGCTGCCTCCCCAGAAGGTCTCGGAGCCTTAGTACTGCCCCCAGTTCTTCTCCGCAGCAAGGGATGGGTGAATACTTACAGGGACTATTCTAGGGGATTATGTAGGGATTACCACAAGAATCCAGCCCTTATTCTGAAAAACATGAATTTGGAAGCGCAATCCCAACATGACTTAGGGTGTCGGGTAGCTGAGAGTTCAGGGCTTCGGGTTTGCTTAAGGGCTATTTAGGATTCACATTTAGGGCGGCTGTTTAGATTTATGGATTCCAGTAGGGTCCTGGTGACATGTGCCTTCTGACGTGAATTATCTTCTTTGCATCGGCATATCTAGGCCGACCAGGGCCTAATGATCACAGATAGCGATATAGACACCTGTCTTGCGTATTGGCCCGCGTAGCCTTCGACAACTAAACATCAGCTATGAACAAATCATTCACTCACTCACTCACTCACTCACGACGCTGCGGACGAATCTCGCATTGCGTGCATCTTAGGCACCTGTCTCTAATGGGGACAGGTTGTACAGTTCACAACTTGGAGGTGGGCGGCTAATAGAAAGTTCTGAGCCGCTGGCACAACAAGCAACCACCAAAAAGAGAACGAAGCAACCAAACTAAGCTACAGACAACAAACGCAGAGCTCTACCCGGCTCATTAAACGAAGAACAGCTCGTTAGGCCGTACGTCCGAGACGCCGGCTCCCTGTGTGCCTGTCTAAGTCTAGTGGTGTCCCACCAGATGGTCCCGACTACTTTTCCTCAAAGCTTCGCACTCCGAACTCCAAAAAGAAACATTGCGTTTCGTCTCCTCATCAACTTCGAGCCGCAGGGAATGAATATTGTTCAACCGCAAGACCCGGTGTTGATGTCGCCTCCCCATCTTTGCAAAACCAGCAAGGAAAGAAAGCGTGACCAGGAAAACCATGAAGATGACTTAGGGACGAGAAGAACCCCTGAGAGCCCTCGCCTGTTACATAGCTGAGGGAGGAGAGCCCCCACCTTCGCCTGTCGACCCGTCCCAGGGACATTTCCGCAAAAGAAAAATTGTGGCTGTAGTGCTATCCCACTTTTTGGACCCAGATTGTCCTGAAAACGTCGTGATTTTTTCCAGCGCATGCCTCCTCGAAAACCAGCTCTCTAGTGACAACAACGCTAGCGCATTGTCTCCTCATTTACCCAGAATCCGCAGGAGGGAGGACGAGCAGCTCCCTTGAAGCTTTCCCCTACAACTGCCGTTGAACAAGTGGCTAGCAGCCGGTTAGCTTGCCACTCTCTTGGCGAGTATCATGCACCAACGTCGCTCCGCCTTGTGAATATTGTCAAGTGTAGCCCGAAGAACCATGGATACGTAGTGGGAAAATACAGGCCCTCACCCTCGAAGAACAGTTGACGATCGAGTCCAGCAGACGCTGTCGCGCCAAGAGCTTGCGCAGCTCTGCCAGTATTCGAGGTTGTTGCCGAACGCGTGTATATAAATCTTCAGCGCTGCCCGCAGCACAGTGTTCCACGGGCCAGTGGTCGCCCCGAAGGGCTGCGCCCACAGCCGCCGCAGGCCGTGCCAAAGCCCTGCGCCTGCAGCGTTGATTCGCCACCACGCTCCAGCGGGTCTGAGCGTGTCTCCCTGAAAGCTTTACAACAGCAACAACAGCAACGACAACAACGACAAACAATACGGACAACGACAACGACAACGACGACGACGACATGCTTTAGGACGTGGAACCACGCCGTTGATGTGACGCAATATAGAGCAGTCTCTAAACGTCGAGCTCCCCATTGGATCCTGATAATGATTAGGAGATGTAGGCGCTTTTGAACTGTAATCTAAGCTCCTGAAAATCATAAGGGATCGTAGCTATAGTGGCTTGGGATGCTAGGAGCTCAGACTATAGCTCATGTGAAGAAGTCCCTGACTTACGACATCTTTGGCGAAAGAAGGTGTGCACAATAATGTTCCCATTCTGATTTCCTCATACAACCGTTAGCCCCTGCTGCCACTTCCAAACACAAAACAGGGCTCAAAACCCTGAACCCCAAACCCGTGCAAAGTCCAATCCCATTAATTTCCTTCCTCCTGGATCATTTGTCTTACTGGTGGTTAGTATAGAAGAACAGAATCGCTATATAATCTCTATATGAAATATTCCTTTATTCCCTACGAACTCCCAGCAAGCTTTTCCTTAAACTTCAAAGCCGCAGAGGCAGGCTACAGGCTAGAACTGATGTTCGGATGAGCCCATGCTCACTGATAGCTCTTTACCTGGCCGAAAAGGCCAAAATATGTGAGCATTGTGAACATCATATACTTCTTGTGAGTTGCCTTAACACACCCATAAACCAACCCTCAACCCTATAGTCCCCCTTAAGTAGATAGAATATGGGGCATATGGGCATGTTATTATACAATATCTACTTAAGTGGCGGGACTATAAACCCTAAAAGCAGCCTGAGCCTCCTTGTTATTCTATAGTCCCCCTTGAGTAGATAGAATATGGCTCTAGGCCTAGGGTAAATTATAATAAGATCCGCATAAATCCCATACTCTATCTACTTAAGGGGAAACATAGGCACGCTCCAGGCCATTGCGCTGCGAAGCTGCCGCCGCTGGCCGTGGTCGATCAGGTGGGGAGCTTATAAAAACAGACCCTCCATTAGTTTGGCTTGCGTTTAAGGAATTTATAGGGTTTTTGTAGGGTTTTTATAGGGGTTAAAAATGGGTTATATAGGGATAATAGCGGGGTAATGGAAAAGAAAATGGAAACTAT